GAATTGGCCACTGGGACCCCTTCAGGCCAGCTTTGCATCCCCGGGTACGTGCCCATGGTTGGCACAGGTCAAAGCGCTCAGCGGCCAGTGACCAGGCCAGCCTGTGTGCCCAGCCGCTCCTAGCAGCAGGAGATGGCGCTTGGCTCCCACCGGCCCTGCAGGACCTGGGTGGTGGAGGGCTTGGCGGCCTGGGCTCCCTCCCGCCTCCCACAGGGTGTCGTCTGTCTCAGCCTCACGTCAGCCTCTCCAAGGAGGCCTGCCTTCTCGAGTGGAGAAGTGGGGTTCAGAGATGCAGGGTGCCCACCCAGAGGGTGTTGCTGTCCCGGGCCCCCATCTGTGTCTGCATTCCTTTGCGTGCTGCACGATTCCCCCGCTTGCTCTCTGGCAGCCCGCCTGCTCTCTGCACCATGCCGTGTTCTCCCGCCACCGCAGGCCGAGCCAGGTGGGTGGTCCTGTCAGGAGCGGCGGTGGTGGTGGTTGTGGGGGCACCGCTCACTGTCTCGGCAGGGAGGCTAGGAAGCCCGGGACATGCTCTGTGCAGCACTGCCTCTAAGTCCTGTCCCCTCGCCCCGTCCACTCAGGTACGGAGCTGACGTTGATGTCAACCACCAACTGACCCCCGAGGTCCGGCCCCCCTTCTCCCGGCGGCTCACCTCCCTGGTGGTGTGCCCCCTGTACATCAGCGCGGCCTACCACAACCTCCAGTGCTTTAAGCTGCTGCTGCAGGCGGGCGCCGACCCCGACTTCAACTGCAGCGGCCCAGTCAACACGCAGGGCTTCTGCCGCGGCTCCCCCGGCTGCGTCATGGACGCCGTCCTGCGCCACGGCTGTGAGGCGGCCTTCGTCAGCCTGCTTGTGGACTTTGGGGCCAACCTAGGTCTGGTCAAGTGGGAGTCTCTGGGCCCAGAAGCACGGGGCCGGCGCAAGGTAGACCCTGAGGCCCTGCAGGTCTTCCGAGAGGCCCGAAGTAAGTGTGCAGCAGGGTGTGTCTGTGTGTGTGTGTCTGTGTGTGTGTGTGTGTGTAATGGTGGAGCCCGGATGGAGCCTTTGTGGGTTGTTTTGGAGGAGCTCAATGTCAGCAGCCAACGTGAGGCCAGGGGCTCAGGTGCAAGTTGGGTTTGAAGCTGGAGACAATGCAAACACGTCCGTGAGAGCCGGGACACGACCTGGAGGTGGCCTGTCCCACCTGAAGTCCAAGAACTGCTCAGGAGCAAATTGGGTGCGTCAGACACCAACAGAAGCCCTGGTGAGCTGTGGGATGGCGCCAGGACACCCTTCAGGAAGAACGCAAACGTCGTGAAGAAGCTAGAAAGGAAGAAAAGATCAGAGTGGGTGTCAGAAGACGAGTGTACGAAACACGCTCGTGATTGTGGAGTAAGGCAAGTGCAAACACTCCCTCGTCTGTGCCAGGAAATTTGGAAAACAGCTACTTGGCCAACTCACTAGAAGAGGTCTATATTTTGATCCACTCCAACAGCGTCCACAAGTTACAGAACAGTGTCCTTGATCTCAAGAGCCCTGGTGGTGTAGTGCCATTTCAGGTCATGCCGCTAACCCCCACGTCAGCAGTTTGAGACCACCCGTCACTCCCCAGGAGAAACATGAGGCCCTTTTGTCTCTGTGGAGAGTCCCAGACGTGGACCCCCATGGCGGCCGCTCTGTCCAGAATTGACACATAATGTGGTACCATTGATATCACATGCAAATGAGATTTTGCTGAAGATCTCAACAGCAGTTGCAACCATACATTGACTGGGAGCTGCCAGAGGGTCAGGCTCTGGCTCCATTCAGAAGACGACGTGGAACAAGCTGATAGCAGATGGCTCTTGGCTCATAGCAGAGAATACCAGGTTTGCTTGTTTTTTATTGACTCTGCAAAGGCATCCGAGTGTGTGGCTCTGAGTATGGGGATTCTTGAGAGGAATGGGCTTCCAGAACACTTCACTGTGCTCATGCAGAGCTTGTACATGGAGCAAGAGGCCGCTGTGCAGACAGAACGGGGACGCTGCATGGTGTAACATCAGGAAAGGCGTGTGTCGGGACTCCACCCTCATCGCGCTTGCTCAGTCGTCAGTCATCAGAGAAGCTGGCTTCCAAGAAGCAGAATGCGGCATCAGGGTCGGAGGAAGGCTTGCACACATCCTGCGATTGGCAGACGACACGACCCTGCTTGCTGCAAGTGAGGGGGCTTGAAGCCCTTGCTGATGAAGATCAAGGACTGCAGCCTTCCGTGTGGATGACCGCTCAATGTAAAGAAGACCAACTTCTTAGACCTGGACCGATAGGTAACATCATGATGAGTGGAGAATAGGTTGAAGTTGTCAAAGATTTCTTCCTGCACAGTCAGTGTTCGGCAGGCAGCTGGGGAGCAGACAGCTCCATCTGTCCTGAGCACCAGCTGGTGGGCAGGCCTCTCGGCCCCTGGACCCGCTGGTTGTCTGACAGGGAGGGTCTGGAGGGCAGGCCCCGATGGTAACTGTGGCCAGAGGGAGGCGGCTCTCCCCATGAGCAGATGCCCTAGGTAGGTGGGCGCCTTAGTGAAGGAGTCTGCCCCTGAGAGACTTCCTGGCCTGGCTTCGCCCTTCCCCTGCCCAGCAGGAGGTTGGCAGGGAGAGCCTGGGGTGGTGGTGGGGACGGGGAGGGAAGTGAGGGGTCAGTCAGTTGGTCCCAGCCAGAACGATCTCCCATCTTCTGCCTCTCTCTTTTCCCATGATGCTCTAGGTCTCCCCAGGACCTTGCTGGGTCTGTGCCGTGTGGCCGTGAGACAGGCGCTTGGCAAACACCGGCTCCATCGGATCCCCTCGCTGCCGCTGCCAGACCCCGTCACCAAGTTCCTGCTCTATGAGTAGGGCGAGAAGGGGCAGGAGTGGCGCCTGGAGGGGTCCCGCCTGCCTGGGGCTTGTCTCGGGTCCCAGGTCATTGCTGCCCGAGAGGCCTGGACAGAAGTGCCCCTTGCTTCATTCTGGCGTACCTCCCGTGGGTCCTGACAGGTGCACTCTCCTGGCAGCCCTGGGTGTGTGCAGGCATGTGCGGCAGGCCCAGAAGGCACCTGGGACCTTGGCAGCACGTGCTTGTCTTATCACCTCTGCTCCTACACATGATTGCCACTTGATGCCCGTCTGCTCATGTCCCACTGTCCAGGGCGTCCCGGGAGAAGGAAGCAGGGGTGGGTGGCAGGTCATGCGTGCCGCTCTCAGAGCTCCTGGGCTGGCGGGGTCTGTGCAGAGTGGGGTGTTGGCTGAGCATCTGCATTCAGGGTCTGCTCCCCATGCACAGGCCGAGCGTGGGTCTGTGCGGCGCCAAGCCTGCCACCGTGTGGGGATTTTGGGCTGTGCGCCCACAGGACCACGGTGGGGGAGCTTTGAGATGGGATCGGGTGTAGGAGGGTCGCATGGAGCCAGCCGGGAAATGACCCCGAACTGTCCCCCAGCACTCACTGCCAGTTCTAGGGAGAAGATGCCCCGCCTGCTGCAAAGGCCCCCAGCCGCTGAGGGTCCACAGCCGGGTCCTGGTGGTTGGCACCTCACTTGTCTGCTTGTGAGGGTCTTGGAACAGGGTGGGGGAGTGGGCCAGGGGTCGGTTGGGACACCTGTGGTTACGTGGTCTCAATGAAGCACCCCACTGTCATTCCGTGGGGTCCCTGCAGTCCCCTCATGGGAAGCGTCTGAGGACTCCCCATAGGAGCTGGGACTGCAGGCTCTTCCGGGCAGACCATGTGTCGGAGCCTTTGCGCTTTGTGGTAGTAAGAGGGACTCGGGGGCATCACGTCTCTGTGTGCGGGAGCTGGTCGCACCGAGATGGCTGCTGCCCAGTGTGTGCCCTTTGGCCACATGAAGTGGAGTCTTGCACCCCCTTCCTTAGCAACTCTGCCTGGGTGCCAGACTGACCCTGTCTCTGGGTGGAGGTTGCTGGGTGAGCTGACGTCTGCGCTATGACAGTTGTGCAGTGTTCCTGGGGGGTGGGGGGCTGTGGCACCCATGCAAGGGCGAGTCAGGCTTGGCAGTCTTCGGAACGGCACAGATTGAGCAGTGTGGCTCACTGGGGTGATGTGGTCAGGCTGTGTAGCATCCTAGGGGGCTGAGCGGTCCTCTGAGGGGACGGGCAGGCCATGGGCTACCCCTGAGGTTGATACTAGGCTTTGTAGTCCTCCCGAGGGGGTGGGATGGTGCTTGTGTGGTGCCCCTGAGGGGACGGGGTCAGGTCATGGACCTTTGGTGAGGTCAGCAGGGCCCCCGAGGTGGATGGTCCGAGATTGGCTGGGCTTCCTCAGAGTGTCTGGGCTGGACCGGGAGGGTGGGGAGCCGTGTGGAGTCAGGAGACCCCCTCTGGGAGGAGTGTGGGCATCGTCACAGCTGTACCCGATGCTGGGGGCTCCCGCCTGGGGAGCAGTCACGCGGGTCAGGCTGGGCTGTTGGTTGGGCAGGGTTTTGCCTGAGACGGAACGATGGTCACTTGGGTGGGCAGAGTCCTTGTGGAGTTGTGTGAGCAGGGGCCAGCACCTCCCCCTGCCTGCCTCTGGTGGGCTGTGGTGCAGTCAAGGGGGCCTGCCCTCTGTGGGTGTGGGGTGGGAGCCTGAAGGACAAGACCACTGCCCAGATCCTTGGGTTTGAGGAGGGCAGCTCTGGCCTTGGGAGCTACAGTGGCCGGGCCCCGTGCCACTGTTACCCTCGGGCTGCCCTTGTGCCTTGGACTGGGCATGTGTGTGCGGTCCTGCGTTCTAGAAGGACTGGCCCCCCTCCCGACCCCCTGCCGTGCCCCGGGCCTCAGTTTGGCTGTGGCAGAGGGTCGGTCCGGCCTCCTTTGCCGGTTTCCCTGGTTTCCAGTAGCTGTGAGGTTCACCCTTGTTGGAGGGAGGCCTCGGTGTGGACCCCTTCCTGCTGTGACACTGCTGTGGGCATAGGGTGGCTTCCGACGCAGGAAGTGTGGGTGCATGTCAGAGGCCCCCAGAGTGTCCTCACAGCCTGGGGGCCGGGTGACTGAGGGAGGCAGCAGAACTCTTGGGGGTTCCGGGGAATCTGCTCTGGGCCGAGGGGAGGGGTCTGGGTTCATCTCTTGAAGGGTCCCATGCTGCCCTGGCAGCTGCTGCACTGGGTGCACGCCCGTGTTCCCCACCTGGCTCTGCCCAGGGCCTGGGGGCTGCCGTGTGGTGTGCTCGTGGGGCCTGTGAGGGTCTCCGTGGACTCGTCTTTGCCCAAAGCAAGGAGGCATGATGCCCTTTCTAGCTTCAGGAGCATTTTCAGGTTTTTCTTTTTTTTTTCCTTTACATAAGTTGTTCATGTGAAGGTCCATGAGGCAGTGGGTGAGTTGTGTACAGTCCCCCCTCCCTAGTAGCC